ACCTTTCATCTCCACTTTCCCCAGGTATCCTGGTCCTCCTGTCCATCATAGTTTTCCACCAGTCTGTGCTGGTGTTATTGGCAAGCGATCACAGTATCCCTCTCCATCACGAGTTGTCCTGGTCAGTGGCGTGTCTTGGCTCGGCTGCGGCCATTCTCATTTTTGGAGGGCTTATGTTCCTGTTGCTTTCCCTCCCCTACAACCCCCTGGAGAAATGTTTTCGTCAGCAGAGCAGTAGTGATGCCTAGCTGTCAGAGGACTGCCAGCGAGTTAAGTAGCACAAGATCTTTTATACTCTTATGCTACTTGTGGAGATTAACTGATGTTATAAAGGACTCTCAAAAGCTAATGTTTTGCAAAAACTAGCATTAGTTTGCTCATCGATAAGATTATATACCTTAATGCTCATACACCGACTCTGAAATTTTAACCGATATTTCTATGATGGTTATGTACATAAAATCAGTGACCAACAGATCCGTTTACTGTCTTGAAAGGCTTCATTTACACAACATGCTGTGCTATTATGCATTGTCCCTTTATCTGCATTTGTATAAGAAACCTTATTTGATTACTAGGCATATAATACTGACTTATCAGGTATTTGTGGGTTGAAAGTGTTGATTTTATTTTAGGCCATCCTATCAATGCTAAAGCCTTGTTCCCACCAAGAAAGATAACTATATTAGTGTCAGATAACATTCTGGTTATTATAAGAGCACACTGCTGTTTTAAATGCTTGAGCTCTTTAAAGTTGAGTGGATTCTGATTGGCTGTCAGTGCTTTTATCATTCATCAGCTAGAGAAAAAAAAAAATTCTGAAAATGATTCCCGTAATATCGTTCCTCTGTGGCATTTTCAATATAGCTGTGGTGCAGACTTCTCTATTCTCATAGAATTAGAATGATTATTAAAACTTTATAGTTATAGTTACCATTATAGTTATCGTCATTGGTGCAAACAGGCCTTTAGAATATAACTGCAAACCAGCTTTACAGGTTTATGCTATTAAGAGATGGCTTGTGTACCATCATAGCCATTCTGTTAAATAACAAGACTTGGCAGGTGAGTTTCATTGACCATAATTATGTTTATAGTAAAACTGTTTGACCAGCTTAAATAGTCTTGCTAGTTAAGTTAGCTGTAAAACCAAATGGGAAACAGCACACTAGCATCACAATGTATGCTGGTGACCAGCTACAGTGATCCCAAGAAGTGACACTTTTGGACACATTCAAAAATGTGTCCAATATTTTGTATAAAATATTGTTCTAATAAAATATTTTTTAACTATATATATATATATATATATACATATTTTTTTTTTTATTAATTTGAATTAATTTTATTTTTTTATTTCGGAAAGTCTTTGTACCATCTTTCTTTAAAATAAACTACTTTGTTTGGTAATTAGCTATAAAATGTAATATTCATGCATTTAAGTGCCCAAATACTTTTTGGGATCACTTTATACTGGTCTTTTCTGCTGGTTTTCAGTGAACAAAGTCATCAGCAGACTAGATATCATTGATTTCAATGCATCGATTTAATGGGATGGTTTATTATTTACAGTTGAAGTCAAAGGTTTACAGAAACCTTGCAAAATGTGCAAAATGTTAATTCTTTTAAAATAAGAGGGATCATACAAAATGCATGTTGTTTATTTAGTACTGACCTGAATAAGATATTTCACATAAAAGATGTTTACATATAGTCCACAAAATAAAATAATAGTTGAATTTATAAAAATGACTCAAAAGTTCAAAGGTTTACATACACTTGATTCTTAATACTGTGTTATTACCTGAATGAGCCTCAGCTGTTTTTTTTAGTTTAGTGATAGTTGTTCATGAGTCATTTGTTTGTCCTGAACAGTTAAACTGCCGGCTGTTCTTCAGAAAAATCCTTCAGGTCCCACAAATTCTTTTCCAGCATTTTTGTGTATTTGAACCCTTTCTAACAATGACTGTATGATTTTGAGATCCATCTTTTCACACTGAGGACAACCGAGGGACTCATATGCAACCATTACAGAATGTTCAAATGCTCACTGATGCTCCAGAAGGAAACACAATGCATTAAGAGCCGGTTGAAAACTTTTGAACAGAATGAAGATGTGTACATTTTTCTTATTTTGCCTAAATATCATATATTTTTCATTTAGTACTGCCCTTCAGAAGCTACAGAAGATACTTTCACATTTCCCAGAAGACAAAATAAGTTACATTTACCCTGATCTTCAAATTCAAAAAGTTTACACCCCTGGCTTTTAATGCATCGTTTTTCCTTCTGAATGGGGTCATTTTTATAAATTCAACTATTATTTTCTCTTGTGGACTATATCTAAACATCTTATATGTGAAATATCTTATTTAGGTCAGTACTAAATAACATGCATTTTGTATGATCCCTCTTATTTTGGTAAAATAATGAACATGTTGCAGATTCTGCAAGGTGTATGTAAACTTTTGACCTCAACTGTATATAAATGTAAAACGATGCTTAATACTATACACTTGAAACAGATGTTTCTATTGTGTGTATAAAAATGATGTAGGGAATCAATTGATGTGGATATGGACCCACTGTTGAGCCACATTTCTCTGTAAATACTGTGTGTTTATATTGTACTCCTGCTTTTCTTTATCCCTATACTGAAGACCCTGTCCTTCACTGAACTTTCTTCTTCTTTCTTTCATGTCTGTTCTTCACTTGGTTGTTTGTGTCACTCTATATTCGTCACGCTCTTTCTCGTTCACTAGTTTTGCTTGAGGATTAAATCTCTTTCACCTAAGACAGTCTCCTGTACTCCTTCCCTCGCTTGTTTCTTAATCTCACTCCTTCTCTTTTGCCACTCGCTCCGTCTAAAATTAGCGCATTGCTCATCTAAGCACATCATGTTGAAGTGGATGAGAAATATTATCCTAGAATGTCAACTATGCCACCCCTTGACGTTCTCTCCCGATGTTGATGGCTCTTGGGTGTCTCCGAGGGTTTGGGTGGAGCTGCGTCTGCCGTCCCGTTCCTCCCCTCCCACCTGAGTATTTGTGAATGCAGTGCCGGTATATTTGGGAAGTGAGGAAAGGTCTGAGCCTCAGTAATCTGTGTGTCTTTCGTCCAGTCTAACTAAAGCCTCCATCCTGTGCGTAACAATCTGGATCTCCTCAAACCGCAGAAATGACAGGTGGCGAGCATGTTCCTGGAGCAACCGTCTCAACATGTCCTACAGCGAGCTTATTACTGGCCCATTTAATATGGTGAATCTGTAGCATAAGAGCGTGTGGGCTGATCAGATGGGGGGAGTATGGGTAGGTGCAGGAGTAGGGAAATTGGAGCTGTAGGTTGACACTCAAGCCAGAGGTCTGCTTGTATATATAGCCCTTTAATAGTGCCTGTCGGTCTAGTGGGCTGTTCTTTCACTTTTTATGTGTACGAGTGCATGGGGGGGGGATAAAACAGGATCTGCTCGTGCAGGTTTATTAATTGTTGGTCGGGACTGAAATGAGTGCATGTTTTTGGGTGGGTACAATAAAAACCTCTAGACAGTCCTCCAATAGTGAGAAAGTGATGGCCTTGCCCATCTGGAAATCAGGAAAAAAAAATAGGTCAATATTCATTTACCCAAATTATACACAGAAAATGGTCAAATTCAAATATGATTCTGCAAAATATCTAGATTTAATTTTTATTTTGTTTTCTAATTTAGTTTTTTTTAAGCGGATTATTAGAACAGTGGTTCTTAACCTTTTTGACTCAAAGGCCCCGTTGTTTATATGACTTTTCCAGCTGTTTGTGATTTACATAAGGATAAGGATTTTTTCCCCCCGCAATTTCTACCCAATAAAGTATAGTGTTTGACGTTACTAGAAAAAATGATATTCATTGATATTGAAAACATTCATGGACTTTTAAGATTTTATTAATTTTATGTGACATTTACCTCATATAAAGAGCCTTAAGAGTCTTGGTTCTTCAAAGGGAAAAAAAAAAAGTTGTCGAGGGGTGAATTAAAATAAGAAATATCTTGATTGTTTTGGCTTATTGTAATACTAATTTTTCCTTATTTTAAATTAGTTTAAGGCATCTTGAGGCCTCCTTGAAAATTTGCTGAGGCCCCCTAGCGTGCCCCGGCCCCTGGTTGAGAACCACTGAATTAGAAGTTTATGGAAGCCCGTTTTGTCCTCGGAGTAAAAAAAAAAAAAGATAATGGTGACTATTTTCACTGAATTTTGACTTTGAAACTTTGTCACTTTTTTTTTGTATTTTAAACTAATCTCACAATTACCTATCTGCATTTTTTACTGTGAGATGGAAACGTGCTTCCATGAAAGATCATCTTCGTTATCTTTTATGGATAAAGATGTTAAAAACACACAAATGACATCACTCGTAGATTGTCTGTTGTTTCTTTTATATATAAAATTCGTGCAATACAGTGTTAAAGAGTTTATCACACATTAAGATAAACCATATTTTCTCTAGATCTATTCTCCACTACGTAATATTTATAACTGACCACATAAATGCTGTCTGTGTAGTTTTTCACATTTTTTTTAAAAAAGACCGCAGGAGATTGTGATTTGATGCCCATTTGCACTCTTTTATGAAATGTCCTGTGTTGACCTCTAGTTGGCTAGGATCATGGAATAAAGGTTAAAGGTTAGCAGAATGTCCACATATATAATCTCTCATTTAGAGAAGCAGACGGATCAAAGGGAGTCAGGTGCAGCACAGTGAACATTTGTTTTTGTGTTTTTTTTTTTGGATGGGAGTTTGCCTTTGGGATGCTTGTCATGATCACATGACACAATGGAGGGAAAACACAAAAGACACAGGGCATTCCCCACATACGAGTCTAGCCCAATCAGAGCTCAAGGAAGACAGTGTCCTCATACATTTAAAATATCTATTTTTTTTTTCAAATACAGTTATGTGTAATATACATTTGCATTTTAAAATGTAGTTTTTTCCCATCCTCCCTCCCTCCCTCCGATTTGAAAAGCAGTTTTGGATAGAAGTCCCTCTTCTGAATGTCATCATTCGTCATTTTCTCTATACAAATATATTATCTGTCCCTCTTTGACCAAGTGAGGGAATGTTTTAATGCCCCAAAACAAAGGTTTTCAATTCAACAAGTGCTACTTCTACTGCTAATAGTGATTTTAACAAGAATAATATGATGGTAGGTTTATATAAAAATCGTTTTCATTTGAACTCTTTGTCATTTCAGTCCATCAATTATGGTGCCGATCTCTTTACTGAGCTGGAAGACAGATATACAGATATTACACTAAATTGCATGTTATCAAAGGGTAGAAAATAAAACTTTCTTTAAAATAAATAAAATGCTTCTCACAAAGTTAGTCGTCGTAGTAATAATCTTCTCACACACATTGAATACACATGTTTCTGCAGTGCTCAGTATCACGTTTTGGAATCACAGTCAAAAATCTTTGAAAAGCAAAATAGTCTTTCTAGTTTAAAAACTAGAATTATTCAACATGTTAAGAGCTAGCAGTTCAAACGTCGTCATAATAACAACAACACTTCACCGTCTTGAAATTCCACGCCTAAAATCGAGCAAAATAATATCCCTGTATTCCATGATAATAGTTTCATTAAAACAGTACTGAAGAAAAAAAAAACATGAGGTGGTGTTGTTATTATGAGATGTTTGTCATTCTTTTACTCTTTATTTTTTCATAAAGTGAAACATTTGTCAATGCCGAGAGACTTTTCCCCTTTTTAGTTGTTGTCCAGTCTTTCCAACTACATTATCTCTCGCTTTTGCGCTTTATCAACTACGCCAACCCTCTATCTGTCTACACTGGTGTAGTTTTCCTATTTAGCGTGTTGGAGTTGCTCTCTCTGTCACCTTTTCCTAGCCTATCCAGCGTTCCCATCCCTCGTTCCCGCTCCAACGTAGAGGAGGAGAAAGGTGGAGGCTGGGAGGATGGGACGGAGTTGCTGAGCGGCGCGTTGGAGTTGGAAGAATTCTGGACGACTGAGGGATTGTGGGGTTTGAGCGAGGGCAGCGTCCCACTCATCATCATACCTCCTCCGCCCCCTCCGCTCTCTTTTGGGAAGCAGTTGTGCAGCTGGTATAGCGTGGCGCGGTCCACTGTGCCGTACAGCGGAGGGGCGCCCAGCCCTCCTAAACCACCCAATTTGGGGTCTCGGGAGAGGGTGTAAAGGGAAATATCGCCCCCTGGCAGAGCGGAGCGGGAGTGAGGGTTGGGTAGAGTGGACACAGAGATGGGCCCCTGAGAGAGTAAAGCAGACGGAGGCATTCCGAAGTTCTTCCCCCCCGGTGGGCCGCCCACGGGAGAGGGGTCTCGTGAGCGCGAGGGGTCTGTGGATCGAGAGCTGGAACGTGATCTGTGGCGGAAGCGGTAGCTCGGGAGCCGTAGCATGGCGTGAGTGGTGCTCTTAAAGATATCGGTGCGAGAGCGACAGCGGAGCTCCTTGTTCTTCTCGATGTAGATGTTTACCGCCAACACGCCCACCATCTCGGCCAGGATGAAGGACAGCCCGCCGAAGTAGAAGGACCAGCCGTAGGAGTACTGCCATTTCTTATCCTCATCCTTCTTTGGGGAAATGTCACCCAGAGCGGCAGAAATGTACACTATCACACCAATGATGTTACTCAGGCCTAAAGATCAATGATCAAAAACATGCCAACTGATCAAAACTCTCAGGTACAGAGAAATACAGAAATGCAGAATAAAAAAGATTCTGAAGCATTCACAGTCCAATCTGGCAATTAGGTTTTATCAGATAAAATGTTTTACATTTTACAGTAATATTGTGGATCATTCTGTACAGACATACAATTAAATACTTTTTGTAATATTTTATTTGGCATTTTATAGCATTTTGTGGTGTTTTCTGTTGTCATATTATTATATTAAAATAATTTATAATATAATATATGCATTATATTGCATTCTAGATACACATTTAATTATAAGATTACTTTCCATTTTTTATTTGAGTTTGGCAGATGCTTTTATCTAAAGTAAATTTAAAATTAAATGTGCATCCTGAATGCAGTGTAAGCTGCTTTGGATAAAGGTGTCTGCCAAATGCATAAATAAAAATGGGAAATAATATAATATAATATCGTGCATCTTACATGCAATATAAGATACACATATATTATTATATTAAAACTATAAATATTTAAATTGACAGATTTTTCCATGTATGCATTAATTCACATTTAATTGTATTAATTTTTTTAAATCCCAGATTTAATACTTTAGGACACCACAGTGTATGAGACATTTTTCTAGTATAGGTAAATATTAGATGTAATTTGACATTTACTCCTGGACCAATGCCTGTACACACACAATGCACACACTTTACCTGCCGCTACAAACAGAATGCCAGCCCCCAGCACGATGTTCCTTTTTCTCTTGTAGAAACGGCTGGCTGCGATACAGACTCCTCCCATTAGCAGCAGGATGGCACTAAGAATGGGAAAGATGTTGGAGGCCCGGACCACTCCTGCAGGGAAAGAGAATAGCGGAGTAGAGAGACAGATGGGAGAGGGTGAGAGACGGAGAGCATTAGAAGCGTGAGACATGATGAGTGCAGGCGAGTCAATTCTGTTCAGGTCTTTGACACTGTACATTCTTATCTCCATGCCACATTTTTAGACATAAATATTAAGCTAAAATGAGGCACCTGGGTAATTAAATGATGCTGTTGTGCACTGTATGAAAAAGCCCCAGAGGAAAAATGTTCCCCTGGCAGTTTGGCATCCCATCTGGGACCAGTCAAGCTGGGACAGAGCAAGGAAATGCCATCTAAATACCAACCAAAATGCCAACCTGGGTGCATGCATGCATTTATGCGTGTGACATGCACACGTGAACACAGGAAACTGTAGCACAAAACTGCCTTGGAGCATTTCAGGGGATATGAAGCATAGGATTGAATTTGCAGAATTATTGTGAATCTGCAATATGTTACTTAAAAACAGGGAAGAAAGCTTAAGGATTTAAAACTAAACAAGAATGAGTAAATAGTGCAAATGCTTTATTTTTGGGTGTACTGTTTCTTTAACAAGGCAAAGACGTGCTGTAGCTGCATTTCATTCATGCTGCAGAAATGCTTTGTCATGATAAAGTCTTTTGTTGTAATAAAGGGCAGCCTCTTACGCAGGACGTATTCTGCTCCATCATGATCAAAGTCAGCGTCCTCTGGGAAGTGGTTGATCTGGGAGCACACACCACGCTTCACCCCTACAAGCAAACAGACAGGAACATCAGAGGTAAGGCATCCTTGATACAAGCCTCACATACTGCGCATATGTTACTTCTGAGCTTAACTGAGAATGAACTGCATTACTGTACCTCCATCAAAACCCCTCACACTTTCCCACAAATGTGTCTTCAGGATCACACCCTGATGTACAAGCACTCACTGCACTTTCTGGCAGAGACTGTTGTTGGATTCTTTTAATATTTAATACTTATCTAGATCATAATTAAGTGACATTGCTGTTTCATTATACTTTCGTTCAAAAGTTTTAAATGTTTTTGAAGGAAGTCTCTTATGCTCAACCAAGTAAAAACAGTAATACTGTGAAATATATTACAATTTAAAATAACCGTTTTCTATTCTAATATATTTTAAAATGTCATTTATTCCTGTGATGTAAAGCTAAATTTTCAGCATCATTACTTCAGTCTTCAGTGTCATATGACCCTTCAGAAATTATCAGTGTTGAAAACAGTTACTGCTACTTAACTACTACTGCTACAGTTAGTGCTACTTAATATTTTGTGGAAACCGTTATACATTGTGTTTGATGAACAGAAAGTTTGAAATAACAGCATTTATATGAAACAGAAATTATTTGTAACAATATAAATGTCTTCACTGTAATTTTTGACCAAATTAATGTGTCCTTGCTGAATAAAAATAATTTCTTAACAAACAAAAAACAAGTTTCTTGTATGGAAAACTGCATGAATATAAATTTTCTCCTACTAAAATGATACTACAGTTGCATTTTTTTAATAGTTCTTGCTATAACAGGAACATTAGAACTTACTCAGAAATAAAGATACAAAAATGTTTTCTCATAATAAAACCGACATTAATGTGGACATTAATGTACAGACAGACAGACAGACAGACAGATAGATAGATAGATGAGAGACAGACAGACAGACATATATATATATAGACAGATAAACAGACAGACAGACAGACATATATATATATATATATAGACAGATAGACAGACAGACATATATATATATATATATATACATGTGTATATATATATATATATTAGACAGATGGATAGATAGATGACAGACAGACAGACATAGATATATAGACAGACAGACAGATAGCTGAGAGACAGACATATATATATATATATATATATATAGAGAGAGAGAGAGACCGATAGACAGACACACAGACAGATAGATAGATAGATGAGAGACAGACAGACATATATACACTGAACAAAATTATAAACGCAACACTTTTGTTTTTGTCCCCATTTTTCATGAGCTGAGCTCAAAGATTTAAGACTTTTTCTATGTACACAAAAGGCCTATTTCTCTCAAATATTGTTCACAAATCTGT